ACCCTTCGACAACCATTACACTTCCAGGAATTTCTCTTAAAGGGTATCTTCCCCCAAGTGTACAAAGAAATATGTGCAAGGAAGTTCATTACTGTGGACACTGTGGACTTAATTAATAAACGATGATGCACTCACACAATGGAATCTCATGTAGTCATCAAAAAGAATGAGGAAAATCCATTTGCCCTGACATTTAATAATGCCCAAGATATAAATGAGAAAAGCAGGCCCTGCTCTCGGGAGCACACCCGCCTTCCCGCCCCTCCCCTTCCCCCAGGCTCATTACCTTCGCCTTTCTCTCTCCTAAGCTCCAAGGGCCCTTCTCCTGCCTCTGTAACTTGTTTCCTGAGCCCATTTCTTCTCCAGCTCACTTCTTCTACCTCTGTGACTTTCTAAATAAATTCTCTCTTATAGTTTGAAGGGGAAAAAAAAAAGCCCTGGCCAGATAGCTTGGTTGGTTGGCGCACCGTGCTTTATACCAGAAGGGTTGCGGGTTCCATTCCAGTCAGGGCACATACCCAGCTTGCAGGCTCGACCCCAGTCGGGGCACATACGTTTGGGAGGCAATGTTTCTCTCACACCGATGTTTCTCTCTCTCTTCTCTCTACCTTCCTTCCTCTCTCTAAAATCAATAATAAATAAATAAACAAATATGTCCTGGAGTGAGAATTAAAGGAAATTTTTTAAGAAGAGAAATGCAAAACTGTATGACAATATGTCTTACATAATCCCATGTGTGTTATGTATCATAACTTTTATGTATATGCAAAGAAAAAATATCTGGAAAGTGATATATAAAAACCTGTTCAAATGTGTAGCTAGCTCTGAAGTTTACATTCTGGGGTTCTCCATTTTCAAAGTTTCTAAACTGCTTCCACAACAAAGATCAATTATTTTTGTAAGCAAGTGGGGGAGGCAGAGAAAAGTAAAAAAAAAAAATTGAAAAAGGAAGGAAGGAAAACACCCTCCTCTGGCTATATCACACACCCACCCACAGACTCCCCAGCCGTGGTCCAGCAGACGGCCTTGGAAATGATGTGTGGTCACAGGCTGCTCACCCCGTACCCCCCGTGCTGGTGCTGGCCGGGCCCCCCCACTGCCTGCGCTCAGCCGCCCCCCCACTGGCCTCCCTCCAAAGCCGCCTGTGCTGGAGAACAGGCTGTCCTGGGCGTCCTCGCTGCTTCAGTGGAGTTCAGTGCTTCCCAGGCCCCAGTGCAGGCGCCCATCTCAAGGAATGACACATGGTCAGTGTGAAAGAAGGGTGGGGACTTCTGGACAGATTTGAAGCCAGGGCTGTAATGGGCTTCAGAGATAAAACTCCCACTCCTCAGGAAGGGGAGTGGGGGAGCGGAAAGCTGGCCCTTAGTCTAATTAAGGCGAGGAGGGAGGAAGGGAAAGGGAGGTCAGAGCTCTGAGATGCCGCTTGGCTTCTGTTGTCTGCGCCAGGAGTACAAAAGCCAGCCTGGGAGGAAGGATCTGGATATACCACTAAGGAGTTGTGTGTCCTTGAGCAAGTCACTGCCCCCTCTGGGCCTTAAGGACTTCTTTCCTTCCTCTGATTTTTCTCTTCCTTAAGCAAGTGCAGCATAGGACTAGAGAGGGCATGGGAAGGGGACCACTGTTTTCTTGGCCCTCATGAGGAGGGGCTTGGGGAAGGGCAGGGCCCCCAAAGAAAGTGCCTTCCATCTGGATTTTACAGTCCAACTTGTGTGAGGAGGGGGGGCAGGTCAGAAGGGGGCCCCAACTCTGGGCCCACTGGTTTCCTTCAGCTTCACCTCACAGGCAGCCGACCCCTGCCCGTCACTCCTGGCCACCAGAGATCCTCTCCCTCAGCATCTCAGGGTCTCAAAGGAAGTCTATTTAATAAAAAAGCTGGAACAAGGGACCTACAACCCATCCCCAATCCTGATCCCACCCCCACTCCAAAACGTTGGCCTAAAAGCTCAACATGCAGAATGCCTAGGCAGGATGGACCACGGCAAGATTATTCCAAAGCTCCCCACCTACACCCAGCCAGAATGTAGCTTTCTAATTAGAATTCCTCAGTGCTCCCCTCTCCCCACAACCCCTTCAAAGTAGCTGGCTTCTCATTCTCACTTGCACCCCCCACCCCTACATGCAGTCCTCCACCACCACCACCCCAAGCTGGTCAGGCCAGAGAGGGAAGAGCTGGGACATTCACTGGTCTTCTGTGGACCATGGCCCCCAGGTCTGGAGCCTGCCCTGGGGCAGAAGACGGTCCTAACCAGATAGGGAGGGAGGCAGAGCCAGAACCAAAAGCCGGCACATTGGAGGCCTCTGTGCCCACATCCTTCTCCCAAACCCAGAGACCTCAGTCCTCCAGGTGACCAGAAATGGAGAAAACATTTGCCTTGGAGATTTCAAGGCAAAAGAGCTGAATTTGGGTGGAGTGGAGAAGAAAGATCTGCCAACAGAACAGATCTTCTAGCCAGGTTCTCTCCAGCCTATTCCTGGACTGCAGAAGAGGACTCTGTTGTGAGGACTGGGAGCCATGAGTCACAGCATGTGTAGAGGGTAGCCAGGCAGCACAAGTCCCCAGCAGAACCAGCCCAGCAGCTCTGTCAAGCAGGCCCCAGCGCTGATGCACGCTGGCCACCCTTCCGGATCAATGCACACTCACCCCTGTCCTGCCAGCAACGGGGGTGGGGGCTGGGGGGTAGCAAATCTAAACTGGCCCAGACTCAGCAGCAAAACTTGGCTCCTGCCAGCCCAGCTAGGAAGAAGCAATGCCTTAGGAAGGCTCCCCCCCACACCCCCAATAGTGTTGCCAGCACCTTCTCTCCCTTCCCAGGTCCTTTTATCTGGCAAGGAAGATCCCATGTTTGCACAAAGGCTGGGAGTGTGACTGGAGGGCTGGAGGCTGGAAAGAATTGTTCTGGGTGTTTACTCACTACTCTCACCTATTAGGAGGCTCTGTTCTGTTATCTCAGACACAGCCGGCGCTGATGCTGGTGAGGAGGGGGCAAGGGCACTCAGGCGCTCTCAGTGTTAGCATTTTAGTCTTACTGTCACTGCTAACGTTAGTGGCCCTCCCCTTCCTCTCCCGGAGGGTTGGGGGTGGATGTCCGGCAGTCCTCACTCCCACCAGGCACTAACAGCTGCTACTACTGCCCCTCTCCTGGGAATAGCTATCATCCCCAGAGCTAGGAGACTAATGGCTTAGTCACAGAGCCAGGCTGGCTCGATCTAGCCCAGGCTTCCCCAGCACCAGCCACTGCCATTGCTGCCAGTAAGCACAGTCAGCAGGCTGAGCACCCTGAGGTGGCTTTAGGCCAGAAAGGAATTACTTTCTGTTCTCACAGGATCCCCCCAAGGGGAAACAAACAAACAAAAAAACAGACCAACCATAGGACAGAACGGCTCTTTGAGGACTTACCTATATAGACCTAAGGCTGTGTCCCCAAGGGCAAAAACCTGGGAACAGCTCAGACCACCAAATCTTGAAGTTAAATCTTCAAGACCAGATGGTATCAGGGACAAGTAAGAGCCACAGGATAAGGGGAGAGGAGGAAAGTAAGAGAAAGGAGAAACACTCACCCACTCCACCCCACCCCCAGCAAAAAAAAACAAAAAACCCCTGCAGAGATTAGGCAATAGCTTGGGGGAGCAGTTCAACTCTAATTTTTAGAAGAGCGCTTGCTTGGCAAATTCAACTTCAAGATAAGGTGCTCTCACCACCCACCCCTAAACCCCACCCCTACCCATATAGAAATGTTGCACTGTCCCTAGGGCTAGGTAAGGAGAAAAGAAAATGCCAGACCAAGGTTAGATATAGTGTCATCAATCTTTAATAACTTATAGATAAATGCTAAAAAATAGTTAATACAGAGGACACACATAGCTTATAAAATGGCAGTGGATCTACAAATGTTGGGAGAGATTCTTGGCACTTTCACACAGACACAAAAATAAAGACTATTATGACTGACATCCCTAGAAAAGC